CAACAACAACAACTGGTTAAATGAAAAAGAAAATTGCACTCTTTTTACATTTTCAATGACTGGTAATGAAGATTTGCCCTCTACATGCAAGCAATTGCATAGAAACCAATTTGCTGACTGCAGTAAGAGATCTAAGCGCCGCAGATTAGCTCAACTATCAAAGGTCGACACTTCTGCCGTCACTGCGATAATTAATGATTCCGCCCAATCCAGCATCTCTTCTGTACAATTCAGCGCTGACGAAATGGTATCACTAGTTACGGAGGCTAAATTGTCAAAACACCAGTACTTGCTTGTAAAAGAGTTAATACACTTTAAATTTACAAATGTTTTGCCCTCATATCTGAAAGTGCTACAAGCAAAGAAACGATGTTATCCATTAGAGGAATGTGTTACAGAATGCTCTGCCGAAATTAATTTACAGTCTTTGTTAGACCACACTACTTCTCGAATTTTTGAATCCCAAAAGAGCGTGAAATATGGTGTTGTTGATGCAAATAATGATTTTGTTCTAATTGGTAAGTGGGGTTTTGATGGCAGTACCGGGCACATGGAATATAAACAAAAGTTTTCGGATTCAAAAATTGAGGACAGCAGCTTCTTATGTTCCCCTTAAATTAATTTATAAATCTAGCATGTCAGATTCAGCTATTACTGTTGTAAGCAAACAAGCAGACATCTCCAAATATAAGTTTGGCTTTTCGCCACTTCATTCGTGGATTCGGTTTTTTGAATATTTTATCCACGTTTCTTATAAAATTAATTTTAAAAAAATGAGATAAGGCTCTTGTAGCCCAAAGAAAAAAAACCATGCAGCAGCAGTTTAGGAATCGTTTAGGTTTGGTTGTGAACAAGCCCCGAAGCGGTGGCAGCGGCACATCTAACGGCGGCAATACCGCTCGAAATTTTTCCGAAACTCTGCTATTTCAGCAGAAATTACTAGAATAGATAAGGCTCTCATTGACAAGTGTTACCACATCCTGCAGTGCCTCGCGTTGGGTTATAAAATAGATACTAAAAATTTTAAAATTTATGCATTTGAAGTTGTGAAAAACCTAGTTGGGGCATATCCGTGGTATAATTTACCACCATCTGTTCATAAGGTTTTAATCCATGGGTCCGAGGTGATTGATTTCGCAATCTTGGCAATTGGTGAGCTCTCCGAAGAAGCTGCCGAATCATGCAATAAGCTAGTGAGGTAATTTCGACGTTTCAACACTAGAAAAAATTCTCGTGTTTACACCAATACTGACCTTTTGCACAGATTACTCCTTAATTCTGATCCTTACATATCTAGCCTTCGAAAATTACCGCGAAAATCAAAGTCTGAACTATCAAAACAGGTATTAGATTTATTATGCACTTAAAACTATTTTACTTTTGTATGCATTGTTTGTATGATCTAGTAGTAATTTGACTTTACATAAATAAAAAACTTAAATAATCACATATGTGTTTACTCGCCTCGCTCGTCTGTTGCTGCAAATGAGTGCCTCGCTCGCAACGACGTCCTCGCGAGGGCAGAGCTAATGAGGCTCTCGTTTGCTTGCCGCCCTACTCTTGCGCTGCCCTCGTTTGCTTACTCGCTCGCTGGCTGCTCAGCGCGTGTGCTCGTACTTAACGAGTGCTCGTTTGCAAATAGCCTCGCTTGTTGCTCGTGAGTTGCGCAAGCTCAGAGCAAACTAACGAGCGAGCGATAAAAATCAAATAATAATTATTACCGTTTGAGCGAAAAAATAAAACTCAATAATAATTCATAACATAAAGATGATTAAATGCTGATTTAAATTATTTTACTCATTATGATTACCTTCCCTGCTTTTAAAATTTAAAATAAAATAGTTTAGTGAAAGTACCACATTTCACTGCTTTTCGACTGGTGCGGAACTAGTTACTGTCGAACTGGTTCGTTTTTGGCAAAAATGAACTAGGACTGAACTAGAAATCTTGTTCACTAGTTCGTGTTTTCCCTACAGGGTTCATCCTCAATTATGGGCTTGTTCGAGTTGCAATCACAACCGCAGTATTGCGCAAATCATTAAAGTATCACGTTCGTTGTGAATTTCTAACCACGTTTTATCAGTTGAGCACTTGCAGCAGTGATATAAATTTTCATCACTGCTGCAGTATTGCCGCTTTTATTACGTGCCTCGAACAAGCCCAATATTACATAAAAAGGGTTTATGAAGTATGCAAACGTACATTTAAACAATTTCAAATCAGCAAATATTTTTTCAAAATCTGATTTTAAATCATGCGCAATATTTTTTCTAGCCATGGAAAATGATGAAATATTATTTTTTTGAGATCATGAATAAAAAGACGTAGTTTATTTTTATTCTTTCCTTGTAGAGACAAATTCAAGTTTTGAAAATGTTTCATCATATCGGTAAAGAACATTAAGTCAGAAAGCCAATTTTCATTCTCCAATTGCGGGTAATGTTCCGATCTCAATTTGCGTATGTGTATATAAAAAGAATAAAATAAAAAAACAACACAATGGAAAAGAATGTCCAGCAAAGAAATGTGTATTTTAAATATTAAAAGGAGCCAAAATGTTCTAAGCTTAGAGAAAGTGAAAAGAGCCGCACTTTGCTAAGCAAAGAACCGAATTTGGCTCAAAGAGCCGCGATTGCCCACCGTTGTACTATAGCCTTTGGCAATATACATACATTGCATAAAATGAGTTTTTAAGCCTCCAGCTCTCAAGGAAACGGTAAAAGGCCTGTATGCAGCTCTCAAGAAAAGCAAAAACTCCATATAAAATGACGTACAAGAAATGGCTACGAAATTTTCTTGAGTCAAATTTTCTTAAGGCAGTACGCAGTTCTTAAGAAATTTACTACGCTATCTACTACGGTTTTCTAAAGTTTTTTGTGAAAAAAGAGCACAGGCAACCCAGGTTTGCAACAGAAATATATGCCCGTTCCATTATTTCTTGAGGAAAGAGTGAGGCAACAGGCTGTGAGGTATCAAAAATATCAAAATTCCTTGGACACATACGCAATTTTTTCTTGACCGTTTTCTTGAGAGCTGCATACAGGGCTAAAGCAAAAAATTGCCACTATTTCGTGTGTGTTTCCAAGGAATTTTACATCTGGTATTTCACAGCCTGTTGCCTCACTCTTTCCCCAAGAAATAATGGAACGGGCATATATTTCTGTAGCAAACATGGGTTGCCTTGCGCTCTTTTTTCGCAAAAAAACTTTAGAAAACCGTAGTAGAAAGTGTAGCGAATTTCTTATGAACAGCGTACTGCCATAAGGAAATTTGACACAAGAAAATTTCTTAACCATTTTTTATGCGTCATTTTATATGGAGTTTTTGCTTTTCTTGAGAGCTGGATACTAAGTTTTACCCGGGATCTAGCTCCTGCTTGCCCGCGCTACCGCCCAACCCTAGTCTAGAGGATTTTTTTTCTTAGAATTTTATGTAGAATCCGCATCTGCTAGGAACGATGTCGAAAAAAAAAACTGACCCGCACTAATGTTAGCCACCTAGTGTTCTTGTGTCTTAGAATCCTTCTAAGAAATCTGATTAAAAAAGCCCGAAATTTTTTTGATTTTTTTTTTAAATACTGCACAAAGTTTTAAGGTCTCGTTATATAACAATTAGATAAGTAATAGTTTGTGGTGTTTTTTGTCGTGATTTACTTTTATTCCACAACAGTCAAAAATATGTTTTCCCCCAATTCTTCTATATAGCATTTTAAGCATTCGCAAATACTTGACTTAGGGCACAAATTTCACAATTTCAAACCTAATTTATATGAAACTCACAACCAAAAGCGAATTCATATAACCGCGAAAACACAATGCCGGCGGTCGGCGAACTCACCACAGCGAAGTTCCCGCTGTCAAAATAAGAACACCCGCCGGTATATGAAATTGAACACAGCCAAAGCGAAATCCGAAGTTTTCTTGGCGGCAGTACATGCCAAAGGTGGCCGTATGTTTTGTTTTGCTTTCAAAGATTTAAAAGGAAACAACATATAACACGAATTATTATTTTTTTTTTTGTTGGTTGAAAAATGCTGTGATCGATTCGTTAATCTGGCTTAAAATAAAATAATTTATAATAATTCCCTCTCGCTATATATTTATATGTATTTGTTATCATTTCATCATTTCTAAATATGGTTTCGTTTTGCAAAATATGGTCACCTAAATAAGTGCTACGAATTGGTATCAGCTGTTTTCGCTACCGCTCTAATTCTGTTAAAGTAGGCGAAATAGCAGGGCCAACGGTGAACGACGGCATCGCCCAATTCGGCGAACTTCGCCGTTCGCCGGTTATTGTGTAGTAGAGCTCTCGATTTTGTTCGCACATTTTCAAAACAGCCCGGGTATATGAGCAGCGAGTACTCGCACACTTGTTCAATGCTCATTACTCGAAAATTTTCGAGCATGAGCTCGAGCAATTCGAGATTTTTCGAGTAATTTGAGCAATGTTTTTTTTATTATATTGACATTTTTGATAGCAACTTTTTAAATTTTTCAAATTATTGATATATAATGCAAAGATTGTTACATTGGTATTTAATAATATAATTTATTTAACATGAATTAGAAAGCAGCTGCTGACAAATACAATTTACAAATTTTCTTTTGTTTATGAAATTGTTCAAAAACTCGAAAATTTTGAACAAACATTTGAGCAGTTGAGCTATGAACGAGTTTCGAGTGAGTATCGAGCTCTCAGTATATCCAGTAAAAAAACTGTGGCGAAGTCCTTTATGGGGATAAAGTTTCCAGAGGTGAAATTTTAGGTAGCATACAATTTCTTACACGCATGGTTGCTTTTCAGCACCAACGCAAGAAACTTAAGAAATATTAAAAAAAAAATATGCGTATAGGGCATTAATTTATGAAAGAAATACCATATAATGTATATACTTTGATTAACAATATGAAAAATGGATTAGAACCACCGTTTAATGTTATATTTGATGCAAATTAATTTTGCCACTCGGGACGCTCTGCACATTGCCACTGAATAATAGGTTTACTTAAAATTACATCCCTGGTCCTTCTTCTTTCTGTATTGCATCGTGGTAAATTCACATTTCTCAGAAATTGACAACAAAACAGAACGAAGTGAGTATTTATTTGCTAATTTTTCCAATTTCTATTGTTTAATGTGAATTTTATGTATTTTTAGGATATGTAGAGGCAAAAAAGAAGGCGCAGTTGGAAAATGAAGTGATTAGTACGAAGTAGCAGCGCAGGCACATTTGGAAAATTATGCCGATAAGCAAGATAGAATTTAGGAAAGTAAGTGCCTGGTTGCAGCATATCTATGTATTAAAAAAGTAATTAATTAAATGAAATTGTGTTTAATAGAAATGTGGTTAATCGAGTGGCGTTAGTTAAAATGTGCTCCAAACATTTGGCGAACTTTTTTTCGCCTTCTCAACGTGCTAAGTTACAAGTTAAGATGACTGCCACCACGACCGGTAGGAAGCCCGAAGCAAAGGGCAAACAACCTTCCAGGAAGCTGCCAGCTGTCCCCGAGTCGTACCTGAAGTTCAGCAAGAAGCAGGTCAGCAAACGTGCTACCCTGATCAAGCGTAAACTAAAGCGCTCTGCTGTGATTGCACTCCGCAAACGTCAAAACTTATTGCATCTGAGAAATATCAAGCAAAATATCTCCGTGATGGATGGCAAAGAAACGCGGCTCATTCTACGTGCCTGCGGAAGACATATTGGCTTTTGTGATCTGTATCCGCGGTATCAACAAAGTTGCACCAAAAGTGCGACAGTTTGTTCCGTTTTCGCCACATTAACCACGGTTTGTTCATCAAATTTAACCGTTACTATGCTACGCATTGCAGAATCCTATATCACATGAGGTTATCCAAATCTTAAATCAGTTCGTGAATTGATATACAAACGTGGAATTGTCAAGCACAACCATCAAAGTGGCCCAATCTCTGACAACTTTGTGATCGAACGCACAAGAAAGCATCCAACTACCTGTGGCCATTCAAGCTCAACACCAACCGGTGGCTGGCGCAAGAGGGCTAATTACTACATTGAGGTTGGTGATTTCGGTAACCGCGAAGACAAGATCAACAAACTGCATGCGCAAGATGGTTTAAAGAAATTTTTGTGTACAAGGTGAAGTATTTTTATTTTAAAAATATATAATATATAAAAAAAGAAAATGGTTTTTTTTTGTAACTTTCTGAAGGTTTAACCCGCAAATATGCCAAATGGAAGGCAGCTTATATTCACGGTTCCTTGAATAATGTCGGAATTCCATTGCCGTTTGTAAAGGCTTTTTCAAAAGGCTCCATTCCACAAATTTAATTTGTTTTGGTTTTTCAGCTAATTAACGATGCACCCAGGATTGCTTTTACCGTCTATAAAAATATTTCATGAAGCGTTCCAAAATTAGCTCCGAGCAACTAAAAGTTGGTTAAGCTTAAGTGAAATAGTTTTTTATTAAATATTTATTCCTGGTATATTAAAAAAAATCAGGTCAATATTAATGTATGAAATGAAGTAAATTAAAATCTAAGAATATATTTCTTGAATATTTTGTCATAGAGCCGTTATTAAATAAAGACATAACTGCGTCGGGCATTGGTCCTGACGTGTATATAATTAATACATTAGAGAGAGATTATTATACAAGCTCAACGTGGTAATTTAGGTATACTTACATAGGTATGTATGTATTTACCTGTTACTCGCCTGGCATATACTTCAACTGCGAAAATAATCACATTTATAATTTATTTAGATGCATATTTTAGCTAAATGTTATATCGTCGCCTATATAAAAGATCGTTGCATGTTACTTTCGGCAGGTTTCGGGAAATCACAATTGAAGTTTGGAATGCAATTTCTCAGAAACTCGAATACATATTTTCTCCAAAGTGTCGGTGAATGCTATGTATAAGTTCACGAAATTCTTAAATTATCTTATTTTTTAGTTTACTGTCAACCATTTATGAGTTTAATAAAATTTTGTCGTATACGCCAAATGTGATAACATTTTTTATAAATTAACGATACTTTACACTAATCAGCCTGATCGTGAGTCTCGCCAAAAAAAAAAAAAAAATTCGCCAGAAATGTTTACACCCACCCGTAGTGAATACACGGAAACGAAAAATGAGAAGGTGGCCCGGTTCGAGAAAATGAAACTCATGATAAGGCTGAATATGTCGGAAACTAAAGCAGATATTTAAAAACAGATGACGCTATTTGAAAGATGTTGATTAGTTTAGTACGACAGTATTACTAACGTAATGTGTACCAAACGATTTTAGTCAATTACTCGGAAACTAAAGAAGATATCCAAAAAACTGTTTAAAAAAAAGCGAAATATCTGATTTTAAAATATATAACTGCATCTTTAACTAAAAACTGTCAAAATAACGCTTACGGAAATTTTCCATCCAAGCGACGATATTTGAATGTTACTGGCATAATTTCGAGCCTGTATGTAAAATTTCGGGGAAAATGTTAAGAAGTATATTCATATGCTGAAAAGATATTTTCGCAGACTCACAATTTATTTAAAGTATATCATCAACCTTATTTCCAATTCTATGAATAAATCGCTCCCATAACTTAATTTGTGCATTCAATATATTTCACAATTAACTTAAATACTAAATAACAAATATTTGTTCAACGACCTCGACACAGTAAAATAAAAAAAAAGTATTTATTGGAAAAATAATTATTCTTAATACATTTATATTTCAGCTAAACCTGAGATGTTCAATCGCACTGCAATATTTTTCTATCCATTTTTCCAGTGCAAAAAAATAATTTTGACCACATAAAATTGCTGCACGACACCCTTTTTGACGAAAAAGCGTTGCTTGCAACACTAGTCCTTTATGGGGACCAAATTTGGTGGAAAAAAGTTGCTAAGTTTGTTTACTGGATATACTGAGATCGAGCTACTCGCATTGCTCGATACCCGGGTATCTAGAGCTCTAGTTTCAAGCATAAGGTGGTAGTAGCAGCACAAAAGCAAAGAGTACACTAAAAAATTATACCCACAATGGCAATAAGAACAAACCAAAAGTACATAAACACACCATGACATCAGTACGTAAATCTAATTTCGCCTGTAACACCACCTTATATGAATTCACCATGTCCTCGCTACGTAAGTTGAAGAAAAAAAAGCAATCAGCTGAAGGAACGAATTGCAGTGTTGTAAAACATAAAAGTATGAAAATGAAGAGATAAATATTAAAAAGGCAAAACATATATATATAGTCAAAAAATGAAAAAAAGGCTGTTGTTGATAAAAATTTCGCATTTAGCACGGGCGCAATGCATTTCGCATTAACGCCTGAATACCCCTACTATGTACGTACATATGTATATAAGCATGTGCATTCCAACGCAGTTGTTACAAATACAAATTTATACATGTACATTTAAGTAGTTCTTAACGGCAAAAACTCGAGACATGGGGATGGGAATGGATGTGCATACTTACGATCGTGTTTACATATGTATGTCCTTACATATGCATATATGTATCCTTACATAAATACTAATGTAAATAAAGACGGTGCGTTTTTGGGGCGTTTGTTTGAACATAATTATGCCAATTAGAAATGTGCGACGATCGGTAGGGGTTCAATTACACAATGCCTATGAAATATGATTCATACCTAGTTCCTAACATACACCAGATGTGTTTTGCTTTCCCATCTACCTCCAGTTGTATGTATGTATAATTATTAGCCACTTTTAAGAGAAAAACAACACCATTGATTATTATGCATTGTATAAAGAAAAGGCAGCCGAATATGTCATTATGGGCATTGACTACCGGGGTTTTATTATACTTTCCACTTGGTTTTATTTGAATGCGCTAAATTTTACACTCATGACTTGGCAGAAATTCTGCGAATTCATGACTGTAACAGATTTTACATGAAATGAACTCACATACATATGTACATACATACCAGGGTTTTTGCGAATATTCGCATTCGCGTTCGCAACCGCGGAGCTTCCGCATTAATTTTAGTATTTGCATTGGCTTTCGCATTCGCAATAATCAATGCGGAGCTTTTACGAATGCAAATGTATATGGTCAAAAGCTTTGATAAAAGTCTATTTAAATATATTAGTTCTCAAGTTATATAACCAGCTATCAATGATCAGTTATGGGAACTCCCACCTCTACTTGATCATTTGTTTCTTTCTGTATTATGATTTTGTGAACCAATCTTAAAAAAAAAAAAACTACTAGACATGAAAGAAAAAGTGTGCACAGTTTAAACCATTTTTTCGTGATTTGCTTTTGATCATTCAAATTGAAGCTCTTTGGGAAATTTATTTTTAGCAAAGATTTCAAAAAACAGTAATTTTATTTACTAGTCGGGCAATATTTGTTACATAGGGATATACATTGGATACTTGGCTAAAAACTTCTGTGCTGAAACTGCCCCCTAGTTCCCCTTTTTTTGCTGTTTAAAGTCAATGAGTAAGCTCCTCCAATAGAAATTTTCAACGTCTAGCTATACAGAGAACCGATGCTCAAATAATTAAAAAGCTGTACCTTTGAAGTGTACCTGAAAGCAAAATTCTTTACCCGGGAGTAAAATGTGCCTTACAATTGCACTTAGCTCAGCCGTGCACAACTTGCACAATTGAAAAGTCATTTAGCACACTTAAGGCCGTTTTCTCATCTAACCTTTATTTTACCGACCACTTTGTCGTCTCGATATACGAGTTTTCGTTTTCTCATCAGCGCATTAAATTCTCGAATCGATAAATTGTTGCTCACCCGATGCAACCTTTAAAAATGTGTACCCAACTTTAAAGTTTGGTTTGGTTTTGGTTCATGAGTCAGATATATTAGATATTTCCACCAAGGTTTTGGTTTTTGCTAACAGTTGCTCTTGCTCTATGTTTGCTTATGTTGCATTGCCAACCTTTGAAATTTTATGATGAATGTAGTGAAGTTTCATTCTCGGAAATGTAGTGAAGTTTTACTCTACGGAAGGACAAATTTATTTTTAGCGGTAAGATAAGAAAACAAAAACACTTTAAAGTGAGGAACAATTTATCTTCCCTGTTAGTAAAGGCACCTTTACTGCTTACATTAGAAAACGGCCCTTAGGGTCTTTTTCTCATCTAACCTTTAGTTTACCGGCCACTTTATCGTCTCGATATACGAGTTTTCGTTTTCTCATCAGCGCATTAATTTCTCGAATCGATAAGTTGTTGCTCACCCGATGCAACCTCTAAAAATTTGTACCCAACTTTAAATTTTGGTTCGGTTTTGGTTCATGAGTCAGATATATTAGATATTTCAACCAAGGTTTTGGTTTTTGCTAACAGTTATTCTTGCTCTATATTTGCTTATGTTGCATTCCCAACCTTTGAAATTTTATGACGAATGTAGTGAAGTTTCACTGTCGGAAATGTAGTAAAGTTTCACTCTACGGAATAACAAATTTGTTTTTACCGGTAAGATAAGAAAACGAAAACAGTTTAAAGTGAGGAACAATTTATCTGCCCTGTTAGTAAAGGCAACTTTACTGCTTACATTACAAAACGGCCCTTAGGGCAGTTTTCTCAGTTTATAGCTCACTTTATATTTAAATGTTGCATTAAAATTTGTGATTGTGTCTAAAGTAAAGCATTTTATTATCGGTTTTAAATTGGTTTACAACCAAGAAACATAGTACATACGTCAAAAACCGATAATAGAAACGACTAACTTTAGACATACATAGCTTTATTTTCAATCCAACCTTTAAATATAAATGGCTCTAAGAAGGGTAAAAACTTGGCTACGCTTCACAATGAGCGAAACTGTACTTACCGGTAATCATCTACATACATATTATATAATTGCTCAGTCATACGATTTTGTTATGATCCGTAGCAGCCGCCGAATTGATCTATGTATCAAATTAAAGTGTAAACTGCAGTTACAGTTGACCGTGTTTGTCACAAAAGTAAAAAGTTTCACAAAATTCGATAGTGAGCAATATAATCTATTGAAAAATATTAACCAGATTCCCGTGGAATTCGGAAGAGGTATAAGGTATTATTCATAGTTTTGAAATATATTT